GTGTTTCGTATGATGAGTAAAGGGATCCGGAGACACTTTTTTATTGGAAACGAGGCATTTTGATTCTTAATCAAGGATAAATGTAGATGTATATGGGCCACAGCATCCACTTACCATCGGGTGGACCGTGTGCTCGTTTGTCACACTTATTCTATATAAAAAAATTGGAGAATGTTATTATTCATATTGTATTATATTTGGGTGGATTATAACTATTTATGACAAGATTCCCTGTCATATTACTTATAGACCTTTACATATAATATACAAAAAGCATAGAAACAACCTTCGTATGTAGAAAGCATATTATATATTAGTTGATTGTTTAAAAGATAAGTATGCGAGGATATAATGAGCTACGTCAGACTTTTTTACCAATATGTATATTTTATAAGCTTAAATTATAACCGTAGGGAGCTAAATACTCTACGTGTGAGTTTCAAGCCGCTTGCTTTCACAAGGTCTTCCCGCACTAGATACTTGTTGAAGCGACGGAGTGGCTTTTGACTTATAAAAAGCCCAACATTTCGATTGTTTTTTTTTTCACGAACAGGAGTGGATAAAATATAATTTACAAAACTTATTCAAATGAAAATGTTCATGCGGGCCTTTGTCGATTGGAATAAAATTGTTCTGAAAAACAGTCCAAAACGCAGTCCCGAATTGTTTCAACTATAAAAGTGACATAAGACCCGTAAGCTTAAATACAATTCACGCTATCGGTGTACACTGAATTCCCGTTTCTAACAAGTTCATTTCAATTTCACCTATTGCAAAATCTTTTTTTAGACTTATAAAACGTTCCGAACAACGATGGAAATTCCTATCAAGTGACGAACTAAATAAAAAACTGGTAGAAGAACATCATACGCAGGTATGGAGAATGATGATATCAGGTTTAGACATCAAATTATTGCAGTTTTGTCAAACTCTAAACGTGTAGAGCCTGGCTTCTTCGTATTATAACTGCAGCATACTTAGGAAGGCTTGACTGGAAAAGGACAATGTCCGCACTAAATCCATTGCATCCTATAAAAGTCATCTGCTAAAAATAGGCCTTCCACATAGATTAACTCATAGGAGTTTTCTTTTTTATAGGTTCCGCGCTTTGTACACGGGTTGACAAGCGCAGCTTTTTATAATTTTGAGTCGATATCGGGAAGATATTGGCCCTCTCTTGTTTCAGTTTCCTCTCAGTTCCCTCTGCTGCCTCTTACGACACCCACGTGAGGATGTGGGGTAGTGGATATTCTTACATAGACACTGCGCAATTACTCTACTTCGCACTGAATAGCAGCATATATTAGCAGTATGGTGCTGCCGCGTTTCATATGGGGAGCATAGAAAACTCGAGATACTTTTACCGGTAATAATACACGCTATCTTAGTTCTCAGGGCTGTCAACGTCAATCTATATTTTGTCTCTTCGACTTAAACCTGTTTTTGGACCATAGTATCCACTTACGATCACAGTACAGTGTGCTAGTTATACACTATTACTTCAAAATTTTAAAAATAAAACTTTGGTGTTGCTTGTGGTACTGGGATTAGTGGTGACGGGATTAATGTACGCAATTGAAGGAAGGCGGTAGGTGCTCTTCTAACTAGATAAGACACATCATTTTATTTTATTGAGCGGATGTGTGCGAGGTAATTTTTACAAACTTTAGTAAAAGAACTTATCACCCCATATTGATTCGTAGGTGTGGTAAGAGGCTAATATTGATAACACGGCTCCACCACGTAAAAACTACTACTGATTCTACCTATTATTTCATTTCCTTCTATCGCCTTTAACGAAACCCATAGTATAATGTACGATAGTGAATACTCTCACACCGCCACTACTAAAAATAAGAAATTGTATATTACAGAGTAATATAACGCCAACTGTGTTGCACAAAAGTATGTTCCCTCGCATAACAAGCGTCCGCTTCGTTACTCCATGGGTCGAGCCACATTTCGTTTGAGCTTGCCTAATTGTGTGTGTTTAGGATAAGGAAAAATAAACAAAGCCGCGCCGCAAAAGAAAACTACACAGAATCTCATAGGTGTTCAGTGTGCCACAACGAAGTTCGCAGAAGATCCCTTTGTACAAAGCACCGTTACGGGCAAACTTGTCGGGACTGAATTTAAAATGCGCAAAGTTGTGTCCCTCACCGAGTTAATTATTTAGCGAGTCGGGATACCTGATGTCCGCTTTTATTTCCCGCATCAGGACGCTCACAGGGAATAAAATATTTCATAACCAGCTATTTCCTGTTTAAGCCTCTTTATAAGTAGAACGTAATTAATTTGAGCTACCGTTTATAGTACAGTAAAGAGCAGTACTTTGTAAAACAGTATTATTATAGAATTTTTATAGGATAAGGATGACATACGAGCACACAGTCCACTTAATGTTAAATGGACACTGTGGTTAGACATCTACATCTATCCTCGATTAAGAATCAAAATGAAGATGCGTTGTCACTCCTGAAATCTAAGATAGAATACCTCGTTTCCAGTAAAAATGGTATTCACTAACATTCACCATACGAAACACAGCAGCATATAGCTGCTACTTCAGGCTGGTATTCTGTGAGAACGTGGTTCTTTTACCTTCGAGCTGACCAGTACGTGCTACAACCATACGTGGCTCTACCACGAATAGCCTGTCACTGAACAGTAACGCAGCACTGTTAGCTAAGCAACCGAGTACATAATTTACTGGTAATGATACGTAGATACTGTGACCCTTAGACATAAAGATCTATCCTCGATTAAGAATCAAAATGCAAATGCTTTGCCATCCTTAAGGTGAAATATGGAATTCCACGTTACAATTGAAAACAGGCTCTGGTTCTCTTATTACAAAACACAATATTTTCGTCATCATCATTCATCTTTACAGTATATCAGAAGTGCACTGCTGGACATAGACCTCCCCTTAAGAATGCCAAAAGCGCGGCCCTGAGCCACCTACATCCAGCGACTTCCTGTATGTCTTACCAAGTCGTTATTCCATCCAGTGGGGTGCTGCCCTACACTTCGCTTACCGGTACGAGACTGCCACTCAAGAGCTTTCCTTCCCCATCATTTGTTGGTTCTTCGAGCTATATGGCCGGCCCATCGCCACTTCAGCTTCCTAATCCAGTGGGCTATGTCAGTTACTCTGGTTTTACTGTGTTGTCCTCTTTTTAAGTCTATTACGCAGAGACTTTACGTGATAGAGCCATGCTGCAGTTATATTAGTAGTGTAGTTGTAGCACGAATGGGTCGGCTCGATCGGGGAAGGACCACGCTCTCACAAAATACCAGCGTCAAATAGTAGCTTAATGCTGCTGTGTTTTGTATGATGAGTGTAGACCCATTTTACTGGAAACGAGGCATTCCACTTAGGTCCTCATGGGTGACAACGCATCTGCATTTTGATTCGTATTCGAGGATAGATGTAGATGTCTATGGGCCACAGCAACCACTTGCCATCAGGTGGACTGTGTGCTCGTTTGTCACCCTATCCTATAAAAAAAAGAAAACTCGAGTAAGCCTCTTCATAGCTAGTTCTCTTTACCTACTGTAAATAATTTTTACGTTCATTAAATATTATATTATTACATATATTATTCATATATTTTTATAAATATTGTTTTTAATAATAATATTTTCTTCGGCTCTTTTTATATGGCACGTTGAACCTATTCGACAAAATTTAAAATTATAAAGTCATACGTTCGGTATGTCAGGTAGAAATCGCTCAGAGCGATGGGGCTACTGTTTATAGTTCATTAGTTTGCCGTTAATGTTATAACTTCGTTTAAATCCAATAAAGAGTTATCTAACTATCAAAATAAGCTTAATATGCTAGGATAAGAAATAGTTTGTGACTAGAAGCATTCAACTTAGGAGCTAAATAGTTAGTATCTTAACCATTAAGCTACTGTAGTTTAAAATGAAGCGTTATATTATCGTCCAATTTAACAAATTCAAGTAAAGTACAGTACGAAATTGTAAGGACAATGAAACAAAAATTAAAAGTAACGTTGTTGGCAGTTTAAGCTGACTGAACGGTGGTCTGAAAAGTCAATTATAATGGAACCCGAGTGGGAATTCCTTCATATCTCATTAGCAAACCTCCAAAAGCATCTTTAATATTAACGACTTGCGGGATCGTACCGCTGCGATCGGGAACAATCGGGGATAATCGGACGCCTTGGATAATTGCCGCTTCCAAATTCTTGGAATGTCTCCAAATTGAAAATAATATCGATGAAATTCTCCTTATGACGTACATTGTTGGATAATACGATAAGAAAATTGTTGGAATTCTCGCTTCCTCTCTGCTTCCCATTCTCAATAACGTGAACTCTTTGGAAACTATGCTATGCACAATATATTACTGGGTATAAGTTCATTTAATTTTATGAATGGGTATTATTTTATTAATAATTATGGAATTTAATAGATTCTAAGATTCTGTAAGAGGCGTCAGAGAGACAAATCAGGAGAAAAATTGCGGTTGAGACCCCTTTGCCAAAAGTGTCTTGAATGTCAAAAATCCTTCCTTTGAGGTAATATATAGGGGACACCTATGTTCATCAGTGGGCTTTTAATATATATTGTAAAGTTACGGTATGGTTGTTAGTCTTCCTTAAACTAATGACCCGCCTCACCTTCGCCTGGATAGATCTATGAATATGGAATAATTAAAAAAAATATAAAATAAATCTTTAAGTTTTTCAGTGATATATAATCCAGATCCATGCTGAACTTTATCCGTTATTTTTTTAAAGTGGTTATTTATATCATAATAACACGCAAATAGCCCTCTGAGTTTATTAGAAGTCAGGTAATTTTGATATCACAGAAAAATACGTCAAATTTATTTATAATAGTATGTATAGATAACATTATCAAACTATGACAGAAATCCGTAGGTATATCTATTATAAAAGTTCAAAAGATATTGCTCTTAATACCATATTTGTAGCAGGTTTTATAAATGTTTGTGATGTAATTACCTTAGGCGGTCCGGTGGGATGTGCACCATCGTACACGTAGAGGTGGTCATTGCAGTCAAGCTGCAGCATTTCGAAGTGCAGCATAAAGCGCTGCAGGATGCTATGCGTCTGGTAGGTGACGGTGCAGTCGAGGTTGCGCTCGTTGCGCGACCACAGCACCCCACCGTCGACTTTTCGGTACTGACGCTGAAGGAAATGGTCCTTGCATAGGGAGTCCATATAATCTGTGAACAATAGAAAACGTCTTTAATGTTGAACCTAGTGTTCTACCTCATATATCTATCCATCCGTAATAGTAGTAACGTTACCATAACCTACCGTTACAGCGTATTAAAAGTCAACTACTGAACAAAGGATTCCCTATAGATTGCTTCATTGGGTGGATATTTGCCATAGTTTGCAATTGGGTTGGACACTACAGTTTTTTTTTATTCTAATGGTTAAATTTTCCTGGTTCAGTTTCCCTATTTGCAGTATTATAACTGAATTTATATTTGTTTGGTTACTTAGCTACAATCTTTCCGTATTTATTAACATTAACTTTTCCTACTGCAATTTTAACAACATCATACATATTTGTATGAAGTAAGATCCGCCCCGGTTCGCGCGGGTGATTTCTGGATCTCGACAACACCGCCACTTACTGGGTCCAAATGTGAATAAAAACCGTCTAGGGACCAATTCAAACACACACGAAAAAATTCATCAAAATCGGTTAGATGGTTTCGAAGTCTATAACGGACATAGTTAGATACATCTTTTGTTTTATTATAGATAGAATACGTATGTAGAGTTTTTTAGTGTAAGAATATCCACTTCTCCAAATCATCCCGCTGGTGTCGTTGCAGGTGACGCGGAAACAAATCAGGAGACGAGCAGCAGTGGCTTTCTGATAACAACTAAAAAATAAAAAAACTACGGTTGCGAAACCATCCGTCAAGCGTGGAAACCTAGGCAAACATTCAACTTTGATGGAGCAGCCCTATGCTACTGAACAATGAACTTCTGACAGGCTAAAATATCAAAATTCTAAATTTGGACACTAATTGAAATAAAATTCTACTCTTCACAAGATTTCAGCCGTGTCTATACTTTAATTAGACTCCAAGATCTTCAACTTAACGAACACTCTAAAATATTTTAATGTAAAAGAAATACTATCCAAATTTCCTTAGAAAATCTTAGACAAATCGCATAGTTAGATAAATTTCCTTCTGCAGTTAAGGAATTTAGACTGATACACCTTTAACTTGAAATTTGTTATAAATTAGTTCCGAATCACCTGGGCGTGGAATGTCTTGTAGATAAATTAGTTTATCTACTATTTGTCAAAACTTATCAGTTTGTCAGCGGGCTGTCACTAGGCTCAGTTGAAATATTATTTGAGTAAGCGACAGGTTTGCTTACGCGTAGTTATGTAAGTTTTACAATATGTTATGTGAAATAAAAGTTTAGTTTCAGGATAACTTCGTAGCCATGTAAGTAGATTTTCTTTATGATTATTTAAAATTTAAAATGTTCTCGGTGAACTTAACGAATAGTACACTGGTAGAATATAATGTGATTAATCGGATATTTGTTTTTACCTATAATATGAAAGTAAATAAAGCGGTTATTTTTCTTTTAAATAAAACAATTGATCTTTCTTTTGTCATTTGATTAAGATTCCTAGTTATACACTTATGAAAGCTTTCTAAGTATTACAAATCATATGGTAAATGTCAGGTTCCTTAGAGCGATATTACATATGCGATCTGACACGTTATACGTGGTAGAATCATGCTGCAGCCACTATATTACTTGTCTAAATGTCTCTCGGGGATAGGACTACGCTCTCACATACATATGTGTATGTGATATATAATACCAGCGTAAAATAGCAGCTTAATACTGATGTGTTTTGTATGGTGAGTGTAAAGATCCGAAGACCCATTCTTACCGGAAACGAGGCATTCTATCTTAGTCCTCAGGGGTGACAACGCATCTGCGTTTTGATTGTTAATCGAGGATAAATGTAGACATTTATGCGCCACAGCATTCACTTACCATCAGGTGGACTGTGTGCTCGTTTGTCGCCTTTATTTGATAAAAAAAACATAGCCTTCTAACACATTCAACTGATCTAACGATATTTTTATTACAGTAAAAAATGTATTCTCCTAAAATCAGAAATATAACATTCTAAAACGTTGTTTTACAATATTTTAGGAGCACCTGCAGCGTGGTACCCTTCATCATAATGTTTCTCCTTCTCGGAAACGCATCATCTGCACCCACACCACGGATTTTCTCAACATTGGTGTCTGGTGAAACAACCAGTCTAGAAGTACCAAGAGATTTCATAGCAAGCACAGGAACTGGGACTGGAGCTATGCAGCTTGTAATCAATATCCACACAGACAGCCAAGGGAACATAGAAGTTTATACAAATTAGTATTTTAAAAAAACACCACACTAAGAAAAAAGAAATAACAAATAATAGCATCTGATGCTGTACGAAGATGGCATAATGAATTATGAAAATGTTTTATAACCTAGCTTCCCAAATGACAATATTATGAAAACCAAGTCGGGAAACATTCGATCAAAACAAAACATAAAGATCTAATGTCATCGAAACGTAAAAATTAAAAAAAACTAGAATTGCACTTGAATTTAACTTGAATGCTTACTCTCGAAGTCGATCTGTTTTAAAACAACAAAAAAAACCATAAGCGACAAGAAAAACCAACATTTAAAATTATTTTCAAAGATATTCACAGCGTGTATAAAAGACTTTCCATCTATGATGCAGTAAATAAATTTTGAATAATGTGGTAAATCCAAGAATTACAATCAAATTTGTCGATGAATATAAATATATTTCCAACGTTCAAATTGAACAATTCATTGGCAACGAAGTTCTTGACACCAATATTCGTGAAATTTATACATTAATGTGTGCGAACGGAATCGTCTCACGTTCCGCCTCTCAAAGATATGAGGGGCTTATCGTATCGGCACAAAGAAACCGCGATAAAAGGGAGAATTTCTCTGGAAGAGTGCGGTCGGAAAAGTATTTATTGCGCGCGACACGTCTGCGTCCGGAATACGAACGCCGGGAAGCAGTTTTGATGTCGACATAAGTTTTTCGGTGTTGTTTTGATAATACTCCAGGTACTTGACAACAGATAAAATATATCGGCCGGCGTCATGTTAGAAACATTTCATTGTTACATTTTGAGCACTATGTTTAATATATTACACTACATTGAATCATAAGGGATTTACTAGGATTATATAAAATACATAACTGTATATGTAGAATATTTTAACGTCAAATCTAAGGATATGTTAATATTTGATGCTAACGCGATAACGCGATCTATAACTATGTGACGAGTCCTAGGTTCGAATTCCACCCGGAATCAATATTTTTTTATAATACTAAGATGACAACCTTCCTAACAGGCTATGTAATGGTAACCGACTACGGTCGCCCATGGACACCCAAGTAAGCAAGCAACTACAAACGAAGAAGTCTACACGTGCGTTGATTACAACTGCAAATGTAAGTATTAAATGAAGGACTAAGAAATGATTCTCACTTCTTCATTAAAAACTTACATTGAAATAGGTCAAAGATTGTAATTATAGCGCTTTTTAATCAAACTGAGACAAAACATCGTTCGCATTGCTGCTTGCAGATAAAAATGTATAAGAGTTTGGTAAAAAGGGACTACTTAGTAAATTGATAATACACATGACGTAGGTACCGCTTATCGGTCACCCCCTAATCTTATATAAGCATCATATCGAAGGTTAGCAGGAGAGTGCCAATGTGTTATTGGTTACAGCGTGAAATTCTACGTAGTTGGAAACATCATAAATTGTTGCCTTGGAAGAAAAATATCACGAGGAACATCACCATATGACATTTTTTTCAATTTAAGGTGATAATCGTTACAGATCTTCTCAAGTCCACTGAGCATGGACCTTCCCAATGTACCGTCCTGAGCCAACTGCTTATCTTTTACAAGGACATCACTCCATCCAGTAAGTGGAGGGTTATCCAACATTTCGATTAACAGTACGAGGCTGCCATTCGAGAACCTTTCTTCCCAATCGGTTATGGGTTCCATATGGGTGGCCCATTGCCACTTTAGCTTACTGATCTGTTAGGCTATGTCGGTTACTCTGGTTCTACTGCGGATATCCGCATTTCTAAATCTGTCATGCAGGGAAACTTCAATGCCTCCGTAGCTTGTTGATCTAGCGTTACTTCACATTTCAGGAAAATCTTATTTATTTTCTAAGTGGATATGAGCCTATTTCATCTTTTTATTTTGTATTTTTTTATTAACATATCTTTAATATTTACAAAATACAATATTTTACAGAATTTATTTCAATTTAAATTTAAAAATTTGAATTAAATACAACCTTATGGAAAGACTATTGATCAAACTAATAGTAAAACATTTTCACCTTTTGACTGGTAGAGTCACGTTGCAAGTATATTAATTGTAGCACGAATGAGGCGGCTCAGCCGGGATAGGACCACGCTCTCACAAAATACTGGCGTTAAATAGCAGCTTAAGGTTCTGTTTCGTATGGTGATAGTAGAGAAACGAAGACGCTTTTTACTGGAAACAAGGCATTCCATCTTAGTCGTCAGGGGTAACAACGCATCTGCGTTTTGATTTAATTGGGGATAAATGAAGATACCTATGGGCCACAGCATCGTCTTACCATCAGGTAGACTGTGTGCTCGTTTGTCATCTTCATTCTATAAAAAAACATTCAGGGTATCGATAGATACAAGCGGCTCAGAACCTCGTTTAGTGGCATTCCAGCGGAGGGAGGCTTATTACAGCAGTGGACTTGTCAAGACCTGTAACGATAATGATGAAAATGATGACGATGATATTATACTTTACTGGGTATGAAAATTTATATTACCGTACGAATGTAAATAAATACACAATAAACATCCTTTTAAATACGTTGAATTCGGTTGTACAGAGCTCGTAACTTGGAAATGTTTAGCCTGCGCTTTGAAATATCGGGCTTATTACGGCAACTCCCAAAATAAAGTCAAATAATGAATGTTTGAAAACTTTGCACTACAAAGTTATCAAGAATAACTACCTCGAATAGGTTTCAATGTTACGTAATAGTTCCTAATACGAACTATTTATGTTACAATTACAATATTCCACCTATTGGTAAAGCTTTGTACCTACTAAATAGCATCATGAGCTTTAATAAAAAGCTACATGCATTGCATGTAATATTAACAGCGTACAATCATTCACTTAAAATACTGCTTATTTCATTTGTCGTTATTTTTATTGAATGCCCAGCTGTGGGACGTATTAAGGCTCAACTATTTTTTCTTAAGAGCTAAAGTATGAAGTAAATTTAACAGCCTTTTTAAGTCCCATCGGCTCTCCAGGCCTTCCAGGCCTCCTCTTATTTCTGAAAGAGATTAAGAGCAAGGATGAGAAATAATAAAAAAATGCACCGAGCACGTGATAAATCTGCACTTAAAATTGCAATTATCAATTTTATTGGCGCCGGCGGGAATCGAACCCGAGTTCTTCGCGTTTTGCCTCTGAGTTACCGCGGTTCACAAGTGGTATGTAATACTAAATATTATAAAAAGCTATTTAACTTTTGTTTTAAAGTTTTACTTTACGTGGAGGACGTCCGTAAAGTCTAACTTTAATTAATACTTTTATATAATTTAAGGTTTTTGTACTATAATTTAATAAATAAAATTTTCATTCTTGCATTTTTATTACATATTTTGTATAATAAAAAAAACTACTGTACTTATACTAAATACGAACCCGAGAAATAAAAAAGTCAAGAATCTCAGTCTAAGACGTTGATAAATTTCTACGAAGACAAAGCACAGAAACACAAAAGGAGCGAGTTAAAAGGAAGAAATATTTTTAAGAGTCAAAACACACAATGCCTTGAATTAAGATATCTTTAATCCCTCTTCCAAGGAATATTTCTCACTAAACAGCATATTTTAATTATATAATATATATTTTAAGTAATTTTCTAAGATAAATTCTATCAAGACTAAATTCAATCAAGGCGTAAACTGCAGTACACAACCCGCCCACCAAGCGTGGCAACTTTGGCAAATAATAATGCCCTCCAGACCAAATTATGGTCACGGCGACCAGCCTCAACGAAGACTAGCCATCGGCGCAACGATTAGGCCGTGTGCACTCTCTATTCCCATACTCTCATGGTCCGATGGGACGGTAAACAAACACAACGTAAGAGAGATCAGGCGTAGGACTGGCTTAACGTGCTTTCCGAGGCACGGGAGTGTGACACCGACAACTCCGTGATTACGGGCAGCTACTGAGAATTTTCTTAATGGAAAAACTCAATAACTGATAATTTTTGGCCTCATGATAAGCAGTCGCACTTCTACAACCTATAGACCAACGAGGCATGAATAGGACAAACGAACTTGATACGAGCTGGTGATAGGTGGTTACTGCAGTCCACAGACACTTACAGCCACGCTACAGCTAAGATATGATTGCAGCAGAAATAGGTCACTTCGACCAGATAGGGATCACGCTTTACAGATTCCCTTTATAGCTTAATGTAGCTGTGCTTTGTGTGGTCAATGTAAAAAACCGTAGAGAATTATAATGTAACAAGACATATCTATCCTAATCCTCAGGAATAAAAACGCACCTGCATTTTGATTCTAAATCAAGAACCTACATATAGTTGGTGACGATGGACCACGGCATCCATTTCCCTTCAAATGGAGCATGTACTCCTTCGTAACACTTATTCTATAAAAAAATAATACACTTCAGCTAGCTCATTCTTACTAAGAGCCGATTTAAACTTCGACAAGTACAGTAGCGAGTTTAGTTACACAATTAAGTTGACAGTAGCGTTCAAATGTATTCGTGGCGAGTTCAGTTAAAAAACAATGGATTAACCCTGCAGGTCATCCCTGGAACTTCCCCTAACTTCAAATGCAAAGCGCTCCATATTCCACGAAATTATGACGTTGATTATGAAATATCGGAGTAATTTGAAAAAAATTTTTTCAAAGTTTTTCGTTAAGGGGAAATATAACCTCAAACGGCTTAGCAAGATCCTCCGTTATGCCGAAAGTATTACAGCATTAATTTTGAAATAAATATATGGTCAAGTTGAAGATTAATGTTAAGGATTATGTTAGACGAAAACACGATTCCGTAAAATTATTTAGATAGAAAAAAAATCCAAAGTTACCTCCAAACTGAACAATAAACCGCTGTTGTTCATAAATTACTTTAAATAAGGTCATGAAACTTTGCATACTAACAGAACTAACTATAAAGCAGTGCTTATCTTATTTACTTTTTTAAAATACCATTATTTTCACCGTAAAAAGAAATTAC